TTTGTGTGTTCCTGGCACCCATGTAGGCCAAAAGTGGCATCAGATCCTCTGGAGCTGGTGTGAGGGATGGTAGGTGCTGGGAACAGAACTCTGGTCCTCAGGAAGTGTAGCAGGTCTCTTGGCCACTAAGCCATCTCTCCAGCGCCGAGCTTTTGAGTCACGGTCTCACTTAGCCTGGGCTGGTTTTGAGCTCACCTTGAACTTCAGTGTTGTCTCTCCCTCCTAAATGCTAGGATTGCAGGTGTGCACCGCCACCCTGGGCTTCTTGGTAATTTACGAGTGTAAAATTTCACTCCAAATACAGTTTTGGTTATTTTGAGCCTGTGCTTAGACAAGTTCCTGACCTTCCCCGTGCTTCATTCTCTTGTTAAACAGGAGTGATTTTACTCTGGCTCGTGAGCTAGGTTGTGAGGACCGTTCACCTTTATGAACGGCTGAGGACAGCTGCTGGCCTTGTTAGCGTGCATTGGCTTTACAGTATAATAGTTATTACAACACAGTGGTGTCACGTGACAGCCTGTTTCCTCCGGGCTGGGCGGGTGCCAGAGCCGGGCCTGTGCGTGATTCCTCACTGGTTCCTAGCACAGTGCTTAGCGTTTACCAGGCAGTCGTAAAGTTGGAGGAGTGAAAGAGAAGCGGGGAAAGGCAGGGCAAATTCCAGCTGGGTTTCTGATAGAGAATCCCATTTATGGATGAGGGGGTCTCATTCGGGAGAGTGAGTCTTGAAGGCAGGGTGGGGTGGTCATAAAGGAGGGGGGGGGAGCTGCTAACAGGAAGTGGTGTGAGATAGGAGTATGTGGGGAGGGAAGCCCTGGACGTTTGCAGTCGGTTTTGATGGGGGTGTGTTCCAGACAGCGATGCCCAGTGGCCAGTATCTAAAGAGCTGTGTGACTGGCTGTGTGGGCACCGGGTAGAGATCGGCCCCACCTACTGGTGGGGTTGGGTAACACAACCGGCCTTTTTAACTTGACTAATGATAGGGGTGTTGGCCTCCTGCTGGGTAAGATTAAGACCTGATCTAAGTTATTAAGACCGGTATTTAACACAAGCCTCTGTTCATTGTTCTTATTGTTGGGTATTGAAACTAGGGCCTTGGGCATGCTAGGGAGTGCTCTACTCCTGAGCTGTATCCTCAGCACCTCTCCAGACAGTTCAGATATTTTACCTGATTAGGGTTGTCTCTCACCATCATACTTGTGAAGTCTTATGCCCAAGTTATTTTATACTCATAGGAAGGAAAGGAAAAAACATTATTCAGTGTGTGTCCTGGGCCACACTTTGGTTATGCCCTCCCCCTTAAACCTCACAGCCGCCCTTAGAGGAATGCACTAGCCCCATCCAGGACATGAGGAAGCTGAGGTTGGGCAGAAGTGGAGCCTGAAGGGCCCCTCTGCGCACCAGTGGCCTGATTGGGATTTGAACTCACTTCTGGGCACACAGGCAACCTTTGGAAAAGTAAAATGTATTTTATTTGTTATTATGTACATAATGTACGTTTATTGCATACAAGTGAGAAAATACTGAGGAACAAGTAAAAAAGATGAAAAGTGGTCATAAATCCAACCATTTAAATCCAAGCCTGGCTGGGTGGTGGTGGCGCCCGCCTTTAATCCCAGCACTCGGAAAACAGAGGCAGGTGGATCTCTGTGAGTTCAAGGCCAGCCTGGTCTACAAGAGCTAGTTCCAGGACAGGCTCTAAAACTACAGAGAAACCCTGTCTGGAAAAACCAAATAAATAAATAATAAATAAATTCAAGGCTGTATTTGCACTGTATGTCTTTTTGCAGCATCTAAGGGTTTTCAAGGTATGTTTTTTGCAACCAGCATTCCTGTTGAACTAAGCATCGTGAAACATTTTAAACCTATAAATATATTTCCATGTAATTTACAAAGATTGCATAGTATTTCATTATATAAGCCATACTATTTATTTGATCAATCTTCTGTTTTAAATATTTAGCTTGCTGCAGCTTTTCACTAATATATTACAAATAAACAAGTTTGGTCTTTGAGTATGTCTTCCTTCCTTCGAAGAGATTCCTAGAAGTAAGATCGATGATTTAAGGTCCAGTTTGACTTTAAAGACATTTCAAATTAATGTATTGCCAAACTGTCACTCCCCCTTTGAGACACTGTAAGTTACTCTTTAAATGCCAGAGCTGAATCCAAGCACATACCAAGCCAGTGTCCTAGCACTGAGCTACATCCCCGAGTCAAGTTATAGCATTTTAAATTCTTACCAGCAGTGTAAACAATCCTGCTTTGTATCCCTGCCAGCCTGTTTATTGTTATTAAATCCATGCACTTTATATTTAACCTTCTGATTTCTTGACCCAGTTCAAGTAATACGCTGTGCTGAAATATGAGAACTCATGACCTGTTGGTCCTCCAAGGTGACCATACATTTCAGGTCTGAGGTGGGTGAGGAGTCTGGCCATGCATGGGCCTTGCTGGGATGGATTTGACTAAGCAGTGGGTGCGCAGTACCCACAGATACTGGTTGGAGTGGCCGAACTGCATAGGCTGTGCCTGACAAAGTGTCTTCCAGGAATTGTGCCGAGTGGGCTGGGCAGGGAGCTGCTGCCAACAATGAAAACCCACACTTGTGCCGTCTTCTGTGGGTAGCAGCTTTAGGAGGAACCGGGGAGACACAGAACAAGTTCTCTTCTTGCTAACTTGTTTTCTAACTGGAGATTCTACACAGCTCAGCTGCCGGGGTCTCCCATTGCTGGATTCTCCAGAGTCCTGTGGGCTTTTGGGCTTACACGTGACTTTGTGGGAAGATGGACTTCGCGGGGTGCCCGTGCCGCAGGGGTAGACTATGCACGTGAGAACGAAGGGGGTCTCAGAACCAGTTTATTAGCCTGTCAACCAAGTTTGCAGGGACTCTTTCACAAACACGAGCTTAGTCTTTTCCCTGAAAGCAGCTGGGCCCACTGAAGCCCACAGCTAGAGAGTGTGGTAAGTATGGAATAGTGGGAACAGAGAGAAGTGGAGAGAGAAAGTATTTAATGAGTTATTAATTCAGTTAATAACACTAGAATAAGCATCTCAATTACTACATGATGGGGACAGGTCTACCATATGGCGGGCCTGCCACAAACTACTGGGTGATTATTCTATATGGCCATTGCCACTGGGTTTGGATTTATGACCTGTTCTTCAAAAGACGATGGCTAGCCAATTCCTGGGTCGGGAGCATCATCTTTCTCTAGAAATGCTAATGGTCACGTGGGAAAATACAGGTTTTTCTGAATGGAAGTCCCTCTTTGTCCCTCCCCCAAGGGACGTGGTTACCTCTGTTCTAATCCACCGACCTGAAAGGGCAGTGCTGCAAGCATCCTTAGTACTTGCCTTCCCAGGTAGTTCTGACTTCTCCTTCTTGCCCCTTAGCATTTACTATCAGCCAACTAAGGGCTTCTGGGCTGGCACCGAGAGCCTAGGCTACGGTCCCAGGTTTAACAAGACTGAAATTCATCCAACAAGAACTGGGAACAGGGCAGGACGTCTGGTAGAGCACCATGCCCACATTTGTTGAAGATGGGAACACCCCTGGGTGGCCCAGCAGCTTGACTGATTCTTTTCTCCAAATTCCAGTTGCTTACATCAGGCCTCCTCTATAACCTATACCCAAATGTAGGTGAAGCGGGCGAGGGTCCCCCTTGCAGAATGAGAAGGTTCTTAAAGGGAAGTGGGCCCACGAGGGGTGAATCTGAACAGTGTCTGTGCTTTCCTGTCCGCAGGATGGCCTCTCGTCTGTGAGTTCCCAATGGAACATCTACCTGTTTTATAAAACACCTGCAGGCAGCTCACTTTCAAAAGAACACAATGAAGAGCATTTCCAGGAAACCACGTGGTAAAAGAGAAAGTAGGAAAGAAGAAGAACAGTCTTGGGCACGCTGGGACAGCACACCTCAAAGATCTTGTCAGTCTTCACATTTGCTTCCAAGGAGCTACAAATCTGAGTCTGATTTTTCTAGGAGTCAAGAACAGGTGGGCTGTGTAAGAACGATGTTCAGACCCCAGTCTCCCTGCCTCTTTTTCCCTGAACTGACCCTCCTCATTCCCGGCAGACACAGAACACCGTCCTCCAAGGCAGAGATTGGAGTGTGTGATTGCTTATGTTAGAAGAACGAGGCTTAGGAGCTATGTGGGCATCAGAGAGAGCTGGCTTTCCCCTGGGACTGTGCAGTAACTATATGATCTTGGAACATTGTCAAGCTTCTCCAGACCTCAGAATGTTGCTGACAAGATTCAAGAGGGAATTGCCGCTATCTGGTCCTTTACTTGTGGCCATCTGACAGATCTATCATCTGCTCAGCTATATGGACTCTTGGCAAAGAAGGCTAAGGAGGTTTAATGACTTGTCAAGTAGCCACAGCCTGTGGCAAAGATCTGATGCCCTTTGCTCTTGTAGGTTTGTATGTTGGACTCCACTCACCACTCAAGCTGCTACTGGAGAAATTTGCTTTCAGAAAGGGTCAAGGGAGTGGAGGTGTCATCCAATGAACAAGGCAGGTACCTGTTTGTCCTCAGGATGGCTTTGACATTTGCTTCCTGGGTCCTTTTCTGGCCTGTTTTGAGCCCTGGTCAAGTAAGGAAGTGTCTGGTGAGCAGGCAGCAATCCCAGTGCCTCACTGTTATGAACCTTGGAGAGGGAGGTGTAACTAAACAGGCAAACCTCCCTGCAATGCCTATTTTAGTGGAGGAGATGGAAGACCGTGGAGTTTAGATGACTCAGTTTGCCAGGTCCAGCTGGGTCCCCCAAGGCTTGATCACGGTCCAGTTCCATACCTAACAGCACTTCTTCTTCCCGTGACTCCAAGGACAAGAATTCTTGTAAGCAAACCCATGGCTCTTATTCCAGGGTAGCTCCAAGAAGGGAGACAGCAAACTCAGCAGTAGTTGGAGCAGCACCTACTGGAAAAGCTTCCTCCTCAGAAAGGCATCAAGGGTGTTCTGGAACCTACCGGGAAGTCTCTCTGAATATCTGACCAGATCAGCATCGACTTCAGCCTGAATCATTCTTCAGCAACTTTGCGCTTTTTTTTCCCCCGCACGGTGGAGTGAAGATTGGCAAGAAGGTGGGTGGACCGGGTGGGTTTGCAAAACATTAATGAATGTATCTGTGCCTTTCCTCTGACCCAGCTTGGCCAGCGGCAGGGCCAACATCCCACATTCCATTGTTCTCCTTCTAAGAAAACAGAGCTGGCTCTATTTAACCCCAGGAATCTTCTGCGTAGGCTTGTTTAGGAGAGAATTTGCAAACCAGATGGATTGACTGTTTACTGTGTCTCCTCTAGTTCAAGGAGAGTAAGATTATTTCTGATGCCCATTAGCACCAACATGGGCACGCTTCCCCAGCCAATGTCCACTTGAATTCTGGTTTGTGTGCTGGCTCAATAGAGCATTCTCATTTCTTACCTATCTGTATGCACATTTTATGCATACCAGCCATAGTGAGGGCTCAGTGGTTGGTTTGACTTTTCAATTTTTTCTCTTTTCAATTTTTTTTCTTTCCCTTCTATGTCAGCCTCTGTGGTAACAGTGATGTGGTCCTGGCCTCCACTCTGCCATCTGTATGTTGATCACAGCTGATAGGACCAGGAATAGGAACCTACATCTCATGCCATTCAGCCCCTGGGGGTTTGGAATCGGTAGGAGGAGGGACTGGTCCTCCTTTGGGCCATTGACTTAAAATAATATAATGTTATTAAGTGCCTCTAGTCACATTGCCTGCAGTGGACAGGAAGGGAGGTTCAGAAGCGTGTAAATGGAGAAAGAAATAAACTCCAGAGAGGAACAAATGGAAGATACAATTAAAAAGCTGTCTTTGGGGCTGTAGAGATGGTCCAGTGGTTATAAACACTTATTGCTCTCCCCAGAAGATCATTGTACAGCTCCTAGCATTCAGATCTCACAATTGCCTGCAACTCCAGTTCCAGGGCTTCTGAAGCTCTTTGACCTCCTAGGGCACCTGCAAGCACATGGTGCACATAATCTCATGCAGGCACACACAAATGCACATAAATAAATAAATCTTAGAAAAAAAAACTCAACCCAACACTATCTCTTGTTGAAAGCATTCCAAATTCAATGCCTGGCACATTCCCGTGCTTTGTACCCATTGCTAGAGATGCCTAAGTGAGTACTTCTAGAACACCAAGTGCCTGGAAGGATTTAAAAACAAAACAAAACAACAAAAAAACCCCAAACAAACAAACAAAAGCCACTGCTTCTGGACCTCATCTATTTTTCTGATTTAGTAGGTTTGGGGTGGAGGGCGAGAATTTTTACTTCTAAGAAGTCCCCAAATAATGCGAGAGGTCACCTTTGGAGAAGTATTTGGCTGAGCTTCAGGGCGTTTCATCATAAGAATGTTGGGCATGTTCTAAACATAAATATTCCTAGGCTTGTTGGTGGGACTTGGTTATGTTTCCTTTTTTGTGTGTGTTTCAGATCAAGCGCCTACATTCTTATGATAAAAATGCTCTTTCTTCCCTGCCCCCTGCAAGTCATCCTGCTGGCTTTCATTAATTGCAGTTGATAGTCCTCTTTGATACTTCAGCCAGGTATTTCCCACCTGGGAAGCTTTGATGATGTGGTTCTGGAATCTAGGATGCATGAATCAGTGATATAGTCCTGGGCAAGGTACATTCCCCATAGGAGACTCAGCTTCTTCAGTGGTGACATGGGGAATAACTACGCTTACTACATACAGGAAATGTAAGAAAAACACACGTCTCTGAGCATTTGAGAAACATTAGTTTTGTTTTTACTTCTGTGGACTTATTCTGACCCAAGAAAACTGTCTTTCACACAGGTTCATAGAGACACAGACTGAGAAGGAAAAGATTTCAACCCACATTAGAGACCGTTGCTCATAACCTAGTCAGTCTGCCCGCATCTAAACCCTGGACTCTGATCGCGTGCCTGAGAACGTAGCCTAAAATATCGCAAATTCATTTTGAGCCCTCAGGTTTTACCAACTGTAAAAAACATGCAATTGGGCTCATCCTAGAATAGCACAAGGGAGTCAACTGGTGCATCTCCGAGGGAGAAAAAACACAGACTTCCATTTGCGAATTTTGAAGACACATAGTCATTCATTCGTCCACACAACACTAATGCCGTGCTCAGTGCTTTGCATGAATATATACAGACCTGTATCCTCTTTCCTTCACCCAAACTGTCAACAGGCCGCAGTATGAGCATAAATGGGCAGGAAATGATCTGGGCATGACAATCAAGTCAGGATGTCGGTGTTGAAGCAGAAGGTAGGCGTTAGAGAGTCGAAGGCATGGAAGTCAGGTTGGCAGTCTAATGCTAAGACCACATAACAAATGACAACATTGCTCTGCTTTCCACAGCTTGCCATCACGTGAAGAACAGAGAAATTTGCAAGGGCTTCTCAGTTCTTTGGGCCATGTTCGAGCCACTTGTGATGATTGGCCCTCTGGTAAGCCAATTCATTGGTCAAAGCTGTTCTTTCTCAACAAGGGGTGGGCTGCTTAGCTGCTTGTGTCTGTAACTACTTGCTAATGGAATCCCTCCGGCTTCAGGGGATCTCCTTCTGGGCCTGGAAAGTTTTTGGGTGGGGCTCCACCCAGTTTCTAGCTCTCAAATCACAGGAGCTTCCAGCCATATGCAAGATGGCCCATGAGCAGTGAGATTTTTCTCCTCTTCAGGAGATCTGTCCAGTTGGATGCTCTTACAGAGAGGGCCTTTAGAGGAATGTGGCACCAATATTTCAGATGCAAGAGGCATGGATGTTCTGGAGGAGGGGACAGGCTAGTGGTGGTGTGTGAAAACCCGCCTCATATTTGAGGAGTGGTTTTTCTGTTTGCGTCAATTACAAACTGCTTAATGAGAGACATATTGTCCTATTCCCAGATCTTACATAAGAATAACAAAAGTTACGGCGAACATGTTGTATGAGTTAGATAACGTCTGAGCCCAGTGTGACCCTTGTCACTACTCTGTGGGGTTTTTATTAAAGTTTCATTCTTATTTAACAGATGAGGAGAGATCTGAGGTGAGGGATTTCTCATCGCTGAGCTTGTTTCGGCCCCAGTTCCTTGATTATGGATTTTGTGCCTGTTCCATTGTACCTGAAGAAACAAGGAAAGCAGAATTAGAGAACATTTTGGTACCGCGTCCATGCAGCATATTAGGGATCAGATGAAACTAGAATTCTGGGGTTTTGTTTGTATGTGGGAGACAGAGTCTTACTAAGCAGCCCAAGTTGGAATCAAAATTACACTTCTGTTTCTATCGCCCCTCTTGGGTGCTGGGATTACAGGCATGTACCACCATGCCTGGGACATGTGCCACCATGCCTGGGCCAAGAGGCTAACTTACTCGGGTTCTTATATAAGCTCGACTCATTTAACTCCATTTGTACTAATAACTTGCTCACTTGGAGATCTTTAGAGTGTGACATATCCCAAGCCAAAGACCTCCATGGAGAGGCTGTTCTGGCTGAGTCCACGTCAAGACTCCACTTCTTTGATGACATGGCTTCTTATTCTCTCTATATAAACATGTATAAGGAAATCTCTTGCCTTTCATAGGAGAGAAGTATCAACTCTTGGGATCATAAAATCAGGTTTCTGAGCTAGTGGAACAGCAGAGAAAATCCAGTTTAGTAAATGAGTGAGGGAAACACCCTCCTAGGTGGTCTCCTGAGGAGGCAGGACCGTCTGTGGTGTTCTGCTAGTGTTTTCTTCTCTTCATGGATACAAGTCTGAATCAGGGCCATGAACATTCCTGGTCTTGGCTTTTTTTTGGCTATCAGTCAAGATTACCAATATACCCAGGAACTTTTGACAATAACTGTCCAAAGTTATTTGCTGTCCACCGAATCACCTTGGGACTACCAACTATTCTTGCAGGAGAGACAGATTAGTAAAGTTATTTTAGTAATTTTGTAGATTTTTTTGTTTGCACTTTTCAAATGTGTCAGTTAATATGTGAAACACACACACAATTTGCAATTTGCATGTGAAAATATGAAACTATAGAATTTTGATATAGCATCCAACAATTAAATATCAGAATATAAATTTCATTTCCTGAGGCATAAAGTACAGAAAGGTTACCACTGAAATTTTAAATAGATACAAATATCCATCATGAGGCAGAAATTGTTTTACTGGTAATTTTTATTTATCTTCTGATTATGTCTTAGAAGCTCATCCAAAGATGACTCCCATTTATGTGTGGCCATACCTCATCAAATGTGTCTTCTGATGAGGGTCTCTAGGCAATTGGAACAATAGTAGCTTCCTCATGGGTAGAAGAGCGAGTAGAACAAGTTAACAGATCCCAGTCTAGAACCCTGGTCTAAAATGAATTCATAAAGAGCTATAAGAACCATTTTTAATCGAAAAATTATAATGGAAAACATGTCTGTCAGTGTCAGATAAAGCTGCTGGCGTGGACTAATCTGTTTTGGCTGAAATTTTATCAGCTCACGTCTAGTTACCCTGGCTGTCTCGTTAGCGTTACAAGTTCTGATTAGCCATTATCCACCAGGTCACAGAACTTCTCAGATGCGCTGGGGATTGAACTCAAGGCATCAACAAGCAATATGCCACCGAGATACAGTATCCTTAGGCCAGTTCATCGAACTTCCATAATCATGGCCTGGGTAATTACTCCTGTGGGTAATTACTGGCTCTGAGCTGTGTTCTAGGGATATAGAAATAAAAAAAGACACCCTTATTATTTCAAGAAACTTGCTATCTCCGAGGGGGTAGCATATCTGACTAAGTGTTTTAAAACATTTTGTTTAGATTAGAACGAAATATTTTCATTGTGAACCATTCCAAAAGTTAGAGGAACACTCAGTCTTCAGGTACTAGAACTGTTGGAGACATTCAGGGTGGGCCCCCTTTAAGATGATTGACATTTGGGACGGTCCTGGCATGCGGAAAGATCTTCCTGGTGTAGTTTGGGGGCCAGCTTTGGCCTGGGTCCTGGGAGAAGCAGGGAGCCTTGGAGGTCATCAAGTAAACCCTTGTACAATTTCAATCAGAGATGAGAAGCCTGAACCAGGATGGCCTTTGTGAAGAAGATGGGGAGACCATTGTGAAGAAAAATCTAGGTTAGGTTGCTGAAGAATAGTAAAAACACAGTGACTTTGACAGGCCTTGCTAGATCAACCTTTTCTCTGGCCAGTCTTCTGGAAAGGACTGTGAAGTCACAGCTAACCAAACAACCATGACTCCTGGCAAGGGCTTTCCTCCAGGTGAATGGTTTGCCATATTTCCGACTCCAGGAACTGGCTGCAATAACACTTATGCAATGATAGAGTGCTCGGGGCCCACCTCCAGGCGCCTGACTGCCGAGAACTTGGCAGGACTGGAGGCCTCTGCTGGGCGGAAAGTCCTGCTTTCCTGCTTTGCCTGAGCTTCCCTTGGATGGCTGACGTTTGGAGAAGTCAGAGCGGATAGACTTTAGGAGAACTCACAGAAGGCTGTGTGGGCTGAACCTGGAGCCCTAGCAAGGAAGAGCTGGGGGATATGCAAGAAGGGATGGGTAGAACCATTCTTCAGGGACATTTATTATAATTATTGTTAGATAAGCAGGAGACATGGCATTCGTAGGAAGTCCAGCTGCCTTCTCTCTGCTTTGGGTAGAGTGAGGACTGGGGAGCTAAGACAGACATCCCAAAGCCCTTAGGCTGGTCATTTAACATCTCTGAGCTTCGGTGTCTTTGGGTGTAAGGTGGGAGATGCATCTGACCAATGAGCACTGTGGATAATGAATGAAAGCAGCCAAAATCTTGTTTAGCATCTCAGCCAATGGCAGTTGAAAGCATCCCGACTCTCTAATAAGCACAACTGTCAAGTGGCTGGGGATGAAGGAAGGCAGAAGACCAGCCGTCAACTCAAAGGACAAATAAGGAACGCATCTCCTGCAATAAAGGCACACATTTTATAGACTGAGGTGAGTCTAGTTTCTGAGTGTTTGCAAATCAGACATATGCAAATCGGATCATTCTCAGAATACCTGGTATTTTCTGACCCAGTGACAGCATTTTTGTGAAGCTGCTGCTGCGTCTAATACGGTATTATAACCGAATGTTGCCTCACCAAGAGCCCCTGGAGGAAAGAGATGCTTTACCCAGAGGTCCTGAAGGTATGTTCACAACAGATCAAAGTCAGAAGTGCCATAAGTGCCCGCTGATGGACAGGAGCGGAAATGCTGCTGGGTATCACCTTGCAGCGCCACTCAGTACTAGATGGTATAAACTCCCTCAGCAAGAGAGAATCAAAAACTATATACATACATTTTTTTTAAATACAAAAAATTATTGAAGAAAGTAAAATAGATGGAAAATATCTTATGATCCAGTTTATACATAGGGTCAGGATAGGAAAGTCAAAGCTATGGGAACTAAAAATCAGGTTGGTGGCCAACTGGAGGCCTGGACACTGAGGCCCGAAGCTTGAGAGAAGTTGTCAGTGATTCTAGAAGCATTTTAAAATTGGCATTTTGGCTCCAGGTTCCAGTAAGACATGGCAGGGACTGTAAACCTAGAATGTGGGAGGCAGAGACAGGAGAATTTCCAATTGGAATTCACAGTGTTAAAAAAAAATAGAAAGAGAAGGGATAGGAAAAGAGAGTTCCTAAAGTACCTAAATTTATCAGAATTTGCCAGATTATTTTTTTTAAGAAAAGTATTCATTTTAATTTATGCAAACTATTACCTCAGCTAAATATATTTCAATACAATTCAAAGTATGTTCACATAATGGAATATTTGTCATATATAGAAACAAGTTAGCCAGATTCATGCCACACCACTGATAAGTCTCAACACCCCTGAGTTAAGTCACCTACAAAGAGCAGAAAGTGGATCGGTCATAGCATCTACATGAATTTGTTTAATGAGCAAAATCAATCATGGGTTCTGAACTACGAGCAGTGACTGACAGCTCTTGGCAGTGTAAGAGGACTGAATGGAAAGAGAATAGCGCATAGGATGATGGGACCTTTCTTCTTTAGTAAACCAAGCTGTTTGTTGGCTCCCGTGTTTGTGCAATGCTGTGTAGATTATCCTGGCCCTTTGATTGTATTTGTTGTTGAGGAAACTGGAATTGTCGATTGAAGTCAAGCCCTTGGCTTCTTTTAACTTTATTACTTTTATTATCTTACGTGTGTGAGTATATTGCCTGCAAGTGTGTATGTGCCCCACATGTAAGCAAGCCCCTTGCTTTACAGGTAGGGGAAACCAAGGCTCAGAGGGATCACATCATTTATCCAAGTTGAGGATAAATATGAACTGATTTAGAAGCCAAGTTTATTCTAGTTCCCCGGATCTTCTGGCTCTCAGTCCATTTCTTCTTAGTCTCTCTCTCTCTCTCTCTCTCTCTCTCTCTCTCTCTCTCTCTCTCTCTCCCCGGATGTGGTGAGCACCCTTTTCCATCTACATGTATGGAACGCATAGTG